GAGAGACAGAGAGAGACAGAGAGAGACAGAGAGAGACAGAGAGAGACAGGGAGAGAGACAGAGAGAGAGAGAGAGCAGCCCTGCCGGTAGCGTCGTGTGTATACTCTCACTGCGTCGCGGAGACTTCATGCGCAGAAACTTCTTTTTCTACGACTACTCCAGAATGCAGACATTTCTGCACGTTATCGGATACAGTGGTGATAACGATTCCACAAACCATGCGAGAATATTATTTTCGCACGGCTGTCGAGCAATTTCATTCGCCGTAGGCTTCTTGGCTGACCGGTTGAAACGCGGCTGAGAGACCGACGTTTCGCCTGACATATCGAAAGCTTCTTCAGGGCTGTGAACTACGCTACGCGGGTAATGAACTACGCGGCGTCACCCGGACAGCCAAGAAGTCATGAACTCGAGCCGCGGAAGCTTACGTGTGCATATTCGTCTTAGTTCATTAAATACGACAGAGGGTTCTCGCAGTCGCTTTCAGAGGGCACCAGCTCTGCGCGCTCTGCCGCGGCATGTCGCAACTGTCGGAAGACAGGTGAACCACAAAACTGTATGCGAGTTGGTGATTGTTAGGAAGGTTATGTGGACGATTCTATGTCAAATAAAATGTCTACCGCAAATACACTACAGCAATCAGCAGAACATTATACAGCTATCATTCAAAATATTCGTTAGCAAGAAACATTTTGTTCTACTAGTAATGTTACTTTAAATAAAATGGGCTCAAATGAAGAGTCTACTCTGTCGATAATAAATATTACCAATTGCTCTAATTTCATATTTTTCCCCAAAAAACTAAATCAAGACTATTTATGTTTGTAATAGTTGTTTTGTTTACTTGTTTGTAGTTGACGTTATAAAATACTTAAGTAATGAATTAAAAAGTAAAATGAATGTAACATTAGTTATATTCGTAGCGTTCGAAGCAGGATTCCGCAAATCAAGCGCGTAATGCTGCGGCTACCACAAACGCCTTTACCGATCCGGCAGCAGTGCGACGGAAGTCGGTAGCGCCTTCGCGCTGAGGCAGGAGAAGTGAAAGAAACGGCGTCGGCGAGCGGCGAGAAAAGGACAAAGCAAAGTGGCGCGGAAGTTCTTCAGGGGCCAGTGGAAGTCGCGAGTTCCACAAAATAATTTCAAAACGGTTCGCGGAAAACGTGCCGTAAAAGTGTCCAAATGATATTTCTATTTTTTTCTGATTCGAAAGCGGTGAGCGTCAGCAAGCAGCAACGAGCGTGGCGGCCGGGAAAACTTCTGGGTTTTCCAGTCAACATGGAAATTGCAAAGTATTTTTAACAGTTTTTCCACTTCCTTCGAACAGTCCATTTGCTCTCTATGGAACGAAAACGGTTTCATTATGGCCAGAAGTAGGAAGAGGCGTAAACGAAATTCCGGAACCCAATTCTGTGAAAGAGAACCGGAGCAAATTTACAATGTGCACAAGAATATCTCAACGAAACGAATTTACAGCACACGTCAATATCAGGACGCACCGTGGTTACCTATCGTCATAAACGCAGGCCTACTGAGATGAGGGTGTAAAATGGAGAGAAATAAAAAGGGAACTTGTCGAATCCTCTTCATCAGTTTGAGGAGAGTGATGGACCGGGGACAGTGGCTCTCGAAACACAATCATCGGTTCCGTGCTGTCGCGCATGGCCCACAATGCAGAGAACGAACAAAGCTGGGGGGGCTGCTTGAACTGACGGGAGCTTGGAGAGTGACCCAATGTTCTCTTCGCATCTGCTAACGCTATACGTCGGGTCGATTCGCTGACTAGGCTAGCCGAATTTTCCTCTTCTCTTTGAAACTGTAATTTCCTTTCTACATCCACTGCCCTTATCCCCATGCTTGCCTTCACTTTGCCGTTCCCAAAGGAATTTTTGATGGCTTACCTCCTATTACATACTTTCTTGAAAAATTGTTTATCGGCACATTAAGTAACGTTTCGCTTTCTCCATAGACGCCATTCGACAGTATCGCTCAAAACAACAATCACCGCCACACTTCGTTCGTTTGTGCGCCCTCCGGAAGAAAGTGTATTGCCCTGTCCTCATCCTGTCAACTTCACCAACACCGTCCTCTCCCTCGCGATTGCTCCCATATCAGACCCTCCCAACCACCGCAGCGTCCGCGAGCGCGCCCTCAACCACGTGTCACTTCAGCCGGCGCTGCGCAGCGACCACTGCCGGTGCTTTGCTGCAATTTGATATTGACAGATGGGGAGGGTTTCGGCCCCACGTCACCCACGGACAGAGTGCTTTCATATACGCGACAAAAACCGAGAGTGCGACGGGGGCTCCGAGGGGGCGGGGCGGTACGCCCCCCGACAGCCGCATTCGGCCGCATGCTTTTTTTGTTTTGTGTGTGTGTGTGTGTGTGTGTGTGTGTGTGTGTGTGTGTGTGTGTGTGTGTGTGTGTAATAGAGATGCGTGCGTTGACGAGCGCGCGCGCGCTCCCGCGAGTGGTTTGGACATCACGCATCGCGAGCTTCAAAAATAAAGAACACTGTGCGCGAAGATCTCCTTTTCAGAGAAACTTTCAGTGACTAAATTGAAGTTCGACTGTTGCCCAGACTCCTGCATTACATCCCATCCTCTCCTCTCACACACTTTCGGTGGCGCAGCGAAATCATTTTGAAGAGCGCGCACTCTGCTCCCACACACGACAGCACTCGCCAAAGACATTCACTTCCCAAAGAATAATTATTAATCCTACGAAACTTCTGCTGTATTTTCCAGTAACAATAATTATCAATTAAGCTTGATTTTAAACCAGACAGTTAAACAGGAAAGTAAAATATTGTAAAATAAATATGGCAAATACAAATCAGAACTTGAAGAAACCGAACTTTGAATTAGCACTTCAATTTACGACAAACGTTGGGACAGCATCGTGAAAGAGCTGTTCTTCATATTCGGTTCGTTTAATAATTTCCGCAGCAAAAATATTATATATTCCACCATAGAATAATTCTCGGAACTGAAAATAGGTATCAAATAGATCGCCAAGGAAGATATAGCAAACGATGTAGAACAAAGAAAATACGCGTAAAGATCAAACAAATAAAAAAATACAAAATCATTTATAATTAACAATCTAGTCAGCAAAGCAGGTACAAAAAAAGAAAGAAAACGAGAGAGAGAGAGTTGGAAAAAATTAAAGAAATTTAATTTTAGGAGATCTTTGCTGGAAAAAAGCACCCACACACACATCGTTAATGAGAGTGATGATAATAAAACGAAAAGGCATAACGCAGGAGCAAGGGATCGAAGCCAGCGCGGCGGGCGGCGGAGGGGCGCGGCGCGTCTAATGGGCGATCGGTGTCGCCGACGAAGGCCCTCTCCCCCTCACCAAATGGAGTCACGTGCGCCGTCTATCCCCTGAGGTGGGCGGCGCGTGGGGGCGTAGAGGACGGGGCGGGGAGCGGCGCGGGCGGGCGAG